TTCCACCATTACCACATACTGTGGTGTTATATTATTTATGATTTTATAAACATTGCCTGAAGTATCAGAAAGCAAATCCAGCCACACTAGTTATCTGTAGAAGGTGGGCAGTGGAGGCACATACCTTTAATCCCAGGTCTCAGGAGACAGGCAGATGGATATCTCTGAATTCAAGGCTACCCTGATCTACACAAAAGTGAAGAGTATCAGAGCTCATGCCTTTGATCCCAGCACTTGGGATCACATGCCTATAATCACAGCCCTAAGGATGTGGAGACAGGATATATAAGGAGTGGAGAAAGGAATATAAGGAGGAGGAGACAGGAATTCAGAGCTTTTACTTCTGAGGATTTGTGGACACAGGATTGCCATTTCAGCTGGGTAGAGGTAAGATCTACTGGCTTGGCTGGTTTGCTTTTCTGATCTTCAGCTTGAAGCTTGAAACCCAATGTCTGTCTCTGGGTCTTTTACTATTTGTGCTACAATTGGCACACAACATTAAAGTACTAATTCACGAAAAAGCTGCTTTGAGGCCACCAGCCCAGGCTCAAGCCTGGCTACAAACTGGATTCCTGCCTGAGTCCCTGTCCAACTGGCTAGGTTTTCTTTTGTTTTCTCCTCCAATCATTGAGCAAGGGTGGGAGTTTTTGGTTGTAGCTTTTCTAAAGTCTTTAGCTGCCATCCAAACTCAGGAGGCTTTTAGGCTTTCCCTATAGCCCCTCTCCTTGGGCTGACACCCTCAGCTCACAGTCACAGTCACAAGCTAGTTCTCTGATTGTAATGTGCTATACCTCACAGTTCACTGACATTGTTGTCAGACTTGGTAAGTCAATTGGGAACTCTTAAAGGAAGGAATTAGTTTTAAAAGGAGAGTTTTCCCACATTAAAAATGGGAAACATAATTGCAAAGGAGAGAGTTAGGTCTCTGATTACACAGTGCATGATTTAAAAATGGAACAATTAGAGGAAGGGATGATCAACTTAATCGGGATTGACATACGGTTAATTATCATTTTGATACTCTTTGTTGTCGGTTTGATAATTCTTGGTTTATCTCTAAAAAAGTTGAGGCCAGCCTCATCTACAAAGTGAGTTTCAGGAAAGCTAGGACTTTTAAAACAGAGAAGCCCTATCTTGAAAAACAAAACAAACAAGCAAACAAAAGAAGATGGAATCCCACAACAACAATTTCACCAGGATTATGACAACATCATTAATCTGAACAACTCCAACTGAAGATCAACTTTGGAATACAAACTGCTTAGAACAATTTTGAGGAGGACAGTGGAAATGACCCTGTCTCACAGATACTGCTCAGAACAATTTCAAGGAGGCTAGCTGAGATGATCCAGCCTCACAGACTACTTTAGCCAGGACTTGAGATGAGCCATGTACTTTCTCATTATGCTTAGACTTGACAAAAATGATACAGCTTGATAGTTAACCCTAATTTTTCTTTTCAGGATCCCCTAAAGATGTGGTTGCCTCCAGAGAGCTGGAAGTAACTTTAAGAACACAATGCCCACATTCCCAAGGGGTGGGATGGGTAGTTTTTGGTCACTCATTGGGTTATGGATAATTGCCATTGTTTAGGAGGATTGGTTACAAAATGTTGTTGGTTACCATCAGGAAGAAAGTTGAACAAAGGGTATTAGATTCAAGGGTTTTGTGTTGACAAAAAAGGAATACAGATATGACAGGATAAAAAAGGGTAGATAATTGAATCTACTTTGAAAAGAAAAAAGGGATGATATAGATATGATAAGATAAAAAGGTAGATTATTGAATCTGCTTTTTAAAATCAACTACTAGTTTTAAATATTTTACATTGGATTGGATTTTGCATATTGTATACAAATTCTGCATGTTGAAACAAATTTGAGATTAATTTGGTTAACACATACTATATGTATGTTTCTAATCTTGTTCAAGGTATTGCACCTATACAGCCCATTTAACAATATAATGCAAACTTTTAGTTCTTGAAAGTTATTATTACCAACTATATGGGATAAAAAGAAAATTCAGGTTAGTAATTGAAATTAGTCAACTATTATAATTGAACTTGTAGTCATATTAGGCATGTTATCGAGATCAAACAGACATATATTTTAGATAGATAGGTCATCTTCAAACACTTTAGAGATCTACATCTACAGAATATTGCATTTATGATATTTCAATTAATAACATAGGTCCTTTTTATGACAATGAGACATGTCTTCTCCTAGCAGCACCAATATACATAAGAGAAGATGATGGGCATCAAGGAAACTGAACATGGATTTTACTTTGTTTGTGGCAAAGGTAAGCCACTGGGCAAGAAAATTCCCTTGCTTTGATTTCTGACAGTAGGCTGTCCAAAATGGACAAGCAGGACACAACAGAGAGTGATTGCAAAACCTTGCTAAGACAAGGTGGGACAGTCCTTCAGAAAATCCTGCTTCACAGAAAAATCTGTCAGAGATGCTAGGCCTATAGGTCAAAGATGTATGACCCAATGTTGCAGAAAAACGTGGGTGACAGTCCAGGGAGCCAGCTGTTTTTGTCCTTTCTTTGGAAGTCACTTGCTCCAATTTCCTGTTTACTCAGTTAATATTATTTCCTTCTTGGGTCTCTGAGGGAGTTGAAGACTAGATAGTTAGAGTGAGAGTTTTTCCTTGTTTACCAGATTCAGAAAGGAAACTCACTAAAGAAATGTAAATTATATAAGATTTGAAAGACATTAAAAGATATTTGATAATGCAAATTAGACTAGAAAGTAAATTAGGTACAAGACTTTGGACTCACCAAGAAAGAATAGATAATGGACTATTTTCTCTGAATTTGTAAATGTAAATGGACTAGACATTCTTGACAAACTTATTGCCTACATATATTCTATATACTTATTTTATTGTACTATTATATACAGTTTTTCTTAGGTTAGTTGTAGCCTTCTTTTTTGTATTAGACAAAAAGAGGGAATTGTAGTGATATATTATTTATGATTTACTGACGATTTCCTGAAGTATCAGAAAGAAAAGCCAGCCACTCTGGCTAGCCATAGAGCTAGGCAGTGGTGGCATACACCTTTAATCCCAGGAATCAGGAGACAGGTAGATGGATCTCTCTAAATTCAAGGCCACGCTGTCCTACATAAGAGTGATGAGTAGTAGAGCTCACACCTTAGATCCCAGCACTTGGGATCACACAACTTTAATCCCAGTACTAGGGAGGTAGAGACAGAAGGATATGGCTGGGCAGAAAAAGGAATATAAGGAAGAGGAGACCGGAATATAGAGCTTTTTGCTTCTGAGGATTTGTGGAGACAGGATTGCCATTTCAGCTGGGTAGAGGTAAGATCTACTGGCTTGGCTGGTTTGCTTCTCTGATCTTCAGCTTGAAGCTTGAAACCTAATATCAATGTCAGGGTTTTTATTTTTTTGTGTTACAACACTGCATCTCATGGCCATTTTCAAGTGATTTAGGTGGGAGAAGGGAGAAACTGTTAGATGTTTATTACAAAAAAGTTTCTGTGCTTTGAAATTTGAAGTATTTTTCATATTTGTTGAAGTATAAGTAGTAACAGTATTTCTCTATGGAAATACTGTTTCTTTGTCCAGTTAGTATGAAATATAACATGTAAGCCAGAATTTTAAAGAGATGTTACAGGCATTCAGAATTTAGAAAAACAATGATGGTGTATGTGAAATAAATTATTTCCATCAAATGCAATCTCTATCAGAATTGTTCTTTAAAAATAAAAGCCTGTGTGCACTTAAGACTTTGCTGTAATGGCTGTTACCATAATCTCAACTACAACTAGGAAATAGTCTTCCAAAAGCTAAGTCTTCTGCCATCTTCACTGTACCCACAGGGCCTACTACTTAATAGATTTCACATATTTATTAAATATATTTATTTGTATAAAGAAAACTCTTTGTTAAAGATTATGTTTAGCTCAAATGAATTCTTAGATATGTAGATTATCCCATGTGAAACAGTGTGTTTTTAAGGTCATACATTAAAGATAATTACTTTTTTACATACCTTAACAATGACATCTTGAACTTTAAAATTGAAATTACCAGAGGATGTGTAAAACTTTTTAGGATTCACCTATTTGTATTTCCTTATTACATTTTGATATTGTTTCAGGCAATATAAGTTATTCTATTAGTAATATGTATTAATCATCTTTCCTTGCATGGTGGTATAACCCTCCTTGGTATATATATTTTTTTAAGAATTAAGAATGATTTTTCACCATTTATTTTGGAAACATAAGAGACTATAGCCGGGTGGTGGTGGCATACACCTTTAATCCCGGCACTGAGGAGGCAGAGGCAGGTGGATTTCTGTGAGTTCGAGGCCAGTCAAGTCTACAGAGGTGTTAGGAGCCGTTACAAGCTGTGCACATGCTCACTAGGTAACTTTGTAACTTTCCAGCCCTTAGTCTCCGCCCCTCCAGTGACGTCATATGGTCCAACGAGCTTCAGCCAGTCAAAAAGTAACAGTCTGAGGCGACGGTTGCCAGCCTATATAAGGAGGGGTTTTTGGGTGTTCAGAGTCTCCGCTCTGTAAGCTGATGCTCTCCCTCTCAAGTAGCATT